TTATTTAATGACTTAAAGCACACATAAAAGCAACCTAATTAAAAATTTTTGTCTGTTCCATAACTCAGTAAAATTATTCAATGTGGATATCAATAGTTTTCTCTAATCTTCGATTCTTCGGATGATGCAAAATTGAAAATTCCGATTTCTGTCATCGAGTTATTGACTGAAAAATCCAAATAACTTAATTAATACAGCGATTACAAGTGTATGATATCAAAAGTAGTGTGCATTTTAGATTTTTACATCGATAAGACTCATAAAATCGGTGTCTCTGATGGGAAAAATCAACAAAATTTCGATTTTTTGCTGAAAATTTTCCAAAAGTCATCCAAAGAATTGCCCATAAATAGGGTAACAAGATATTTTTTGAAAAATGGTCAAACCTAAAATTATGCATCTTTATTGAATTAAATATCTCTTAAAAGAAAAAAAAAATCATCAATAATATTAAATTGAAAAATTCAGATTTCAATTGGATTTTTAAGACTTAATAAGCAGTTTTCTGTTGACTTGGTAGTTTAAATCAGTTTAAATATGCAAATCTAAGCTTAACTTAGCTAACAACAGCTAGTAGGATATCGAAATAGAAACCTAAAGTAGAGAAACCAAAGATTTTTTTCATAAACAAATTGTAAACAAATTTTTGGTGAGAATAAATTAAAGATTTTGTGGAGTTAGACATTAAATTGGGACAAGATATGTTCACAGGATATGTTTCAAGTTGAGATCTTTAATCTCATTCAAAAATTGAAGTTTAATTAATATGATATTTCTGAATTTTTAAACATTTTTTCCGTATCTGAATCACTGTGGAATGCTGTGGATATATTTCAGCAGATTTTTAAAACTGTAGTTATTTTAAAACCCTGCATAAGTTGCAGTTCATATACAAACAAAGCGTAGCGCTTAAAGCAATTAGTTTAAATATTATGAAAAAATTAATCGTTTTTATTTAAACTTAAAACTACAACTGTCTCAATTTTTTCAAAAAAAAAAAACAAAAACTTGAACAAAAATTTGACCAAATTTTAATTAAACATTTGACCAAATTTTGGATGAAAATTTGGGTGAAAATTTGGCCAAATTTGGATGAAAATTTGGTTCAAAATTTGGCCAAATTCGAATGAAAATTTGGATAAAAATTTGGCCAAATTTGGCCAAAATTTTGGGAGAACTTTTTCAAAAATATTATTCAAACAATTCTTCAGGAAAAATTTGGCCAAATTTGGGTGTAAATTTGGCTAAATTTGGGTAAAAATTTGGGTAAAAATTTGGCCAAATTTTGGCCAAATTTTTTGTCGGTCCCATGAACCGCACCCATGATGAAGAAATGGAATCGATGTTATTGAAAAAAAAATTTCTTCACCATAAAGTCTCTTCAGTGTAGTGTGAATTGATGGCTTTTTCATCTCTTTTGAATGATGAAGTTCTTTGATCTGGAAAACTAATTGATAAGGTGTTAAAGTGCTATTGTTTAGAATCTCAAGTTGGATATTTGAATCAGGCATTGTTTAAAATTTTAATGTTATCGCTGATGATGAAATTTGTTATCCCTTAATGGTTATCTTTCAATGAAACGGATCTTGAGTTTCCTTGCTTTGATATTATTGATCCTAAGCTCTTAGAAAATCAGATCTCTTAGATCTCCTGAATAATCTCTAATATTTTTGGAGCAATGCTGTGTTGGGATTGAAGTAATGTGAAGCAAATGGTATCAACGAACTGTAATGGGGAAGGCGGGGAGATCACTTTAAACCAAGGGTACGGAACTGTAGACTTACTTTCTTACTTCGCTTTCCGTACTGATCAATTGTGAGTCATGGCATCCCTTAGATGGCACCTTTTTTTTTCATTTTAATTGCACTTTATTGCATTTATTGACGACATACTGTCCGGTAATAATTCACATTTTACACTTTTGTATTTGTATACATATGAATTAATATTATGTAGGATCAAACTTCTAATCTTCATATCTAGATTTCAAATAAACTAAGACTCTCGTTTCGATCTTCTGTAGACGTTACGTGATACTTTTCAGGTCCGTTCTATCAATATTCCATTCGTGGGTAATCTTGTAGCTCTCGTTCCTATTTCTCCCGCTACACTTCAAGTTCCTGACCCGTTCCTTAATCCAACGTTGCCCAAATGCTCAATTATGGCTTGATCTCGTACATTAAGCAGTCGAAGTATCTAAACTTCCGAAAAAGAACAAATTTGGAAATGGCTGGATTCGAACCGACGACCTTCGATTCCATCGAGTATCATCCCAAATATGAGCCAAGCGCCTTACCTATTCGACCAGCAAGGCACTTAACTGCACCTGAAGCTGATTCTATCACTGGCTACCGTTTGCCAATTACCCATTCCAAATGTAATACTGTCTCTGTTAACAGCTTCTTTGCAAGAGTTCTTAGAACGTCCGAGTGATCTTTTGCAATCTACAAAAACATTTTTAAAGACTTTATTAAGTCTCATAACGTCATGTCCAGCCCAACGGAGCCTGTTTTCTTTGATTCGTGCGGAGCTGATGAAATGATCGAAAATGATCAAAATATAATTTATCAGTTCCGCACCCTTGCCTTAAACCCACTAATCCCTAAGCATCAGCTATTTATTTAATGACTCCCATCTCATCCTATATTCCATCGTATTTTCCCAAGTTTAAAAATTCACTAAACTTCAAGCGATTTTTAATAAAATAAAATTGATAAAAATTTTTGCTACATTTTCCAATTTAAAAATTATGCTAGTGGCTTAAAAACTTTTAATTAAAACTTAATACTCTTTAAAAATTGTTCTAGATGTTATTAGACAGTTCTCTAGTAACTCCCTAGCTTTTCATGTCAATTAAAGTCCCACAGCATTAAATTTCAATTATTTATCATCCTATGGCAACAAAGTATTTGTGTCCTTTGCCTACACAAAAATTTAATTGGTCAACAACATTTCAGAATTGCAAACAGACAGAAAATAGTCAGCAATATCAATGTTAAATATTGTCAATTAAAAATGAATTCATAAAACTCGAAAAATATTTCTGCAAACATCCAAAAATGCTCAATACGAATTTCGAAAATAAATAGCTACAAAATAAAAGTTTTTTTTACTGGAACAAGATTAGTTCATATGCAGAGAAATTGAGTTGACAGATGTACACATACAAATATGAAAAAAGTTTACTTTTAATGAAAACTTTTCAATTTTCATTTTCGCATCTTCAAATATATGCACAACTGGATGCAGTATCAACTCTATTTTATGAGCAAAAAACAGCAAAATTTTCTAATAAAACTTTTTTTTCTATGCCAGATTTTTTTTTTCATATTCACAAATATGTGTAACTATCGTAGTCTTTGGAATGGAGCATATGAGATTTTCTGTGAATATTACATAGCTTGAAAAGTGTTGTATTAAAGTGTGATGGCAGAGTAAAATTGAGAAATTATGCAAATTTAACCTGTATATGCTGCTGCCATTTTTCCCTATTACATACTTGACTATGGAATGTGCTATGAATATATTGCAAGCAAATAAATTTTCATGATAGTTTACTTTGCAGACTAAAACTTACATATTCGTAAAATGTTTTGATATCCTTTTTAACTGTAAATTGACTGAAGAATGTAGAGGTTAGATCTAGTGTTTGATGTGGACTAGGTTTGATCTGTACTAGGTTTGATTTGGACTAGATGTGATCTAGACTAGGTTTGATCTGGACTAGGTTTGATCTGGACTAGGTTTGATCTAGACTAGGTTTGATCTGTACTAGGTTTGATTTGAACTAAGTTTGATCTATACTAGGTTTGATCTAGACTAGGTTTGATCTAGACTAGATTTGATCTGGACTAGGTTTGATCTGTACTAGATTTGATCTAGACTAGGTTTGATCTAAACTAGGTTTGTTCTGTACTAGGTTTGATTTGAACTAAGTTTGATCTATACTAGGTTTGATCTAGACTAGGTTTGATCTGAAATAGTTTTGACGTTGACTAGGTTTAATCTAGACTAGGTTTAATCTAAGATCTAGTTTGATCTAATATCTATACTAGACTAGATCTAAGATCAAGAATAGATATGATCTAGTGTCTAAACAAGGTTAGATTTATTATTTAGATGAGGTTAGACCAAGGATTCAGACTAAGTTAAAATTAAGATTAGGTAAGATCTAGATACTTAGTCGATATATATAATCCTTATTCGATGCTCTTCGGAATTAAAAAAGCTTTTTATCCACCCTCAATAAAATATTTACATTTCCTCGCCTTACTCGTCCCAATACTCCCCAAACTAGTCGAGTTAAAAAAAATTACAAAAACAATTTCTTTATGTAAATTTTTCTAATTGCAAATGAAATAACGATAACACATAAAAGAATGAATGGAAAAAAGTTTCAAACAGTGCACGATGTAAGGAATTTCCGGAACAGAATGAAAAATCCAATAATAAAAAAGAAACTTAGTAAAGTCGAAGAATGCGAAGGGGTAAATTAAACACAGGTGACAAAGTATGAATTAAATTGAATTGAATGAGTCGACAGTAACAAAATAGAAGTAAATGTAAGAGAAAAAGAATTTTTAAGTGAAAAAATATCGTCAATAATATTTACTCAGTTTGAAAACAATATACGAATAGTATGTAGTTCACTTCAGCTATTGTTGTTGGCGTAAGAAGTAGGAAAATAAATTACGTGTCACGTAATTTTCAAGTTATTTAAAGTTTTATCGCAACGAGATTGTGTTTTTATTCCTTGTTGTATGTTCTACACATTTATTTAGTTTACCTAGTTAAATGTCGTATTTAGTGTACAGTTTATGTTCATATACACCTAAGTTAGAAGCGTGAGCTGCTTCAATTGTTCATTAAAAACGATATAATATAGTAACAAAAAGTTTTATTTTGAGTTATAAAGGCGGGATTGGATATAATACGAGGAACTATAAAAAATATACGGAAGGAGTGAGGTGAACAAGGAGAAAAAAAGAAAATTACGGAAAATGAAAATTGAATTAATTGTATTTATCGTTATCAACGTTTTATCTAACGATGTATGCAAAGTTATAGTTACATAGAAAACTTTTTACGACCAATTTTGTCAGAACACTGAGAGAAAACAAAATCTTAGATGTGGATGATGTGTGAATTGACGTGGACCAACAGTTTTTTAAAGTTTTTAAAAAAATTTGTACACCGGTGAATTAATCAAAAGTGTTTATCAAGGGGTAGAAATTATAGGACGTAAATCAAAGGATGAAATGGTTCGGATCCCACTATAAACTGAAGGTCTCGTCAAACTATCATTAGCCTTTTAACGGATGAATTTTAAGGTCTGAATAAATCAATCAAATTTTAAATCAAGGGGTGGGAATTAAGGGGTGGCAACCAAAGGGTAGGAATCAAAGGGTGGAAATTAAGAAATGGGAATTGACTAGTGGTAAATAAAGATGTACAAAGTAATATTTTAAAATGTTAATTTGAAACATGAAAGTAAACCTTTCTGTTAACTGGTTAAAAATATCTTACTTTAGCGCTTATTTGGTCAGTTGGTAGATCTGATCCTGTGCTGATAGGTTTTGCACAGCATTAAATATTATCTTTCCTTTTTCACATCCAATTCGGCAAATTTTTAAATCTCCCTTAGTTCAATTTCTCTCAGTGTTCATCCGAATGATCCATATAGTAAAATCACAAGAAATTACTATGTTTCTCTCCCTTTTCCATCCTCAAACATTTTTCACGATACAACACATGACTAATTCTTTTCTCATTTATGCTGTATTCCTACTTCCCGTTCATCCATGGTAGGCAAGTAGCAGTACCGAAATGGCAAACATAAAGGAAACATTTAGACAGTTTATCAGCAAAACGAGAGTTCAGGTGTCGGAGAGTGTTAGTCAAATTAATGAAGTACTACACAACCACAACAATGAAGCAGCTAAATATTTAATTCACGCTCGAGATAGTGCGAATGGTATTAAAATGAATGTTGTGAGTGAATTAAATGAAGAAATTGATAGCACAATATCTACTGAGAATAATGACGATGAAGAAATTCAGGAGATGGCAGAGCAACCTTTCATTAGTCTCGAACAACTAGCATCTGTGGCAACAAAGGAATGCGTAATTAAACATTGGAATGATTATATTCAAGATGTTACAAAAGCATTTAAGGATGCTATAATTTATGTTCCGAGATGCTATGAAAAGCATAATGTTCTGGAAAATGCAATTGCAATTCACAAAAAGGTTTTTAATTATTTCATCAATTAGTAATTAGAGTGAATAAGAAGGAGAGAAGAAAAAATGGATGAACAAATCGAAGAAAATTCCTTTTTCTTATTTTCTCTAATTAGCATTAAGATTTTTTGAGGCGCGTTTTTCGCATTTTTTGGTTGGAATTTGAGTGGGATTGAAGATCAATTGACGATTCTAGGATAGAGAAACCTTAGAAGCCAACCTAATAGATCTATGGATTCTAAAACAATTTCAGTAACTTGTTTTCTCCCACAAAAATGCAAAATACGCGCTATCCTTCCAACCACTCGAATCCAATACAAATTATTCTTATTCTAATTTTAGATCGAAGATGGTATTCCAATATCTGATGAATTGCTGCTCTTTAAACTTTCAATAATATCTGCTCAGTCAGAGATTAAAGATCAATTGAGGCGTGCACTCGAGAGTGCTGAAATCGAGCACTTGTTCACCGTTCAAGTCGAAGATTGCTGATAATAATTTATAAGAAAAGTTTTTAATTGCCGCTCTATGGTCTGAATTTTTTTTCTTCTTCCCATAATTAATTTATGGGAAATTTCTAGGCAGTTAAATTTTCTTTTGCACTGCTCACTTTAAAGAGCATTAAACCATTTCAATAAAAAAAATGAATTTTAATACCATTGTGGCACGAGGAGATCATAAATCAAATCTAATTCCATTTTATGGTTTAAAAAATAAAAGAAAAAAAATAAATTTTACAAAAATATTTTTCTTCCTCATCAACTCAAGCTAGTTTCTTTTGGTTTTCTTTCGGCATAAAAAGGAGGATAGTAGGAGAAGAGGTCACTAGAGGGAAATTAACGAGGCGCATTTCTTTCGAGTGCTGTCATGGTTCTTGGAGAATGTGTTGATCGATGTAATTATTTTTGAATAGGAAGTAGTGCTGTCTATAGGGATTCATGATTGGAATGAAAATGGATGATTGTATGGTGAGGCGGATGTAGCTAAAGTTTTGATTACAATTGTCTTTATATTAATTTTTAAAGGACCAAGTCATGGCTGGATACATGGATAGTAAAATTGTATGTAAGTAGTTATAGGAAAGTGGTGCAAGTGGTTCGGATCCCACTATAAACTGTAGGTCTAAAGGCTGTGGTACAATAGATTCTTTACAAATTGAATCGCAGTGCTTCCAGCTGAAAGGCTGGGCTCTTCACACATTATTATTATTAGTAATAGAAAATCATATCTTTGGAATAACCGAAGTTGTCTTGAATCCAATTTTAAGGAATGTTTGCATAAGTATGGTACAAGTAAGTTGAGTAACTTAGAAACGATGAGTACCTTCTTGGATAAGCTACAGAAGGAGTTAATAACAAACCTTAAGATGGTGCGAGCTTAAAATCTTCTAAATTGGTCGCTCTAATCCCTCCATCGATTAGCTTACCACTTGATGTGACATTTGTGTCAAGGCTGTTCAAAAATGATGTAAAACAATTTTGCTTCGACATCAGTGGCTGGTTTATAGAGCTACTTAAGACATACTGCACTAGGAATAAATTTAATGTAAAACAAAATGGGGTGTTAATATAATTTATCTGAGACTAAGATAGATGTACAGACTAGCCCTAGAAACCAGTCTTAGGAGTGTGGGAATCGAACCCACGTCGCCAGTAAACAGAAAGGTTAGAATTTCTTTAAAATACTTAGCTTCTTGGCTTTTGAGTTCTTAACTTTACATTTGCAGATTCGCATTCACGTACAATATGGTTCAGTGTCCCAATAGATATTAGAAACCAATTTATGCTGAAAGTCCCAACCTCATCTCACAAAATCAGACAAAATGTCCCCCAAAACATTCAAATTTAAATTTCCATTTGCCCCAAATTAATTCGCTAAAGACAGAAAAAGAAAATAATTTTTAAGGCTCTTCCTTTTATGCGATAAATCATTAATGTTTGCTGGGCTGTATGCAATAGATATTCCTCTCCGTACTTTTATTTTCTCGCACCAAAAAAAATTTTACTATGTAATTAATTCCCAGTGTCATAAAACTGGAGAGGAAATTTATTGTAGGATTTTCAAATAAAACATAAAAGAAAAGTGTTTGGAATGAGGGAAAGGCAGCAAAAATAAAAAAGAAGAAGGAAGGCACTTGAAAATTAAATCCTTAATGAACATTAGACACGATAGAAGTCATAAAACTCTTTCTTGCTTCCATCATCGTGCTTTACAATTTAATCTTTACTAACACTTTGATATAATGCTTTTAGCACTGCAATGAACTGCACTATTCTCGCCCTTACAGCTCCAAATGGAAAAAGTTTCTTCAATTTTTTTTTGTTCTGCATAGTTGATAAGAGCATACGCCTTTCACGTTACTATGCTTTAACTTTTTTTGAAATTTATTCGCACTAGAAAATGAAGAAAAATAAGCGATAGCATGTGTCAGATAATGGAAGTAGAAAAGTATTTAAAAATTGCACAGGAATGAGGTCAGCAGCAAGAATAAAGAACAAAATGTGAAAAATATAAAAAAGTTCTCTTTGAATGCCTTTTGTTGTGCGGATGATTTGATAATTTTTCGTGGCTTTTACGGCAAAATCATGCACACGACTTGTTTATGATTTTTTGTTCTCTCTTTTTTATCTTTATAGGTAGATTGTGGAAAATATAAACAGAATTTTAGGGAAAGCGGCTTGTGTTGTGCGCTGCTCTATATTGATAAAGTATAGGGTAATCTGTCAGTGCGTATGTAAGGTCTCTGTGGCTGAATGGTTAGCCAAAAAGTGTTTATATTCTCAGTTATGATGTGGGTTTGAATCCCAAACCTTCAAGGTGCAATTTTCTGTGAATAAATAAAATTACGTATCTACTCCCATGACTAAAGGACCTAAACACTTCCAAAATATCCGAAAAACTCAAAAACAGCTTCTCTAAACCCAAACTGACAAGCCAAACTCAAAAACCTTCTTGCTACTCAAAAATGCTCTCCAAAAAAAATGAAAGATAAAAATTTGTTTCTGTTCATAAATAAACCATCTAAGATATAAACATGCCTAAAAGCAGCCCCAAAAAAGAGCACAAACATCAAGATTGCTTTACTTCATTTACCATAAACATAAAATTAAAGTCATTAACCGAAAATGTCAATTAGTGTACGAGAATTAAAATCCTCTTCTTGGAAGACAAAAAAATAAAAGTTTTAAAATTTTATTTCATTTCTCATTATTGAGCTATGCTTATTTTACAGAACATCTACCCCGCAAGACAGTTTTATTTTTATGATTATCACATAAAGCCTTCCATCCATTAACTGCCTTAAAGTGTTGATTAATTTTAAATTAATAACCAACATCATTTTTGTATCTTTAAAATCTTAATCTGTAAGGGGATCCACTTAAGCTTGAGGGGGACCACAACATGGTGGAAAAATATTTTGATGGGGAATTCAAAAATTAAGAATAAGATGAACTAGATGGAGACCAATTATCATTTCTTGTCGAAAAATCTAAACTAATTCCTCATCATGCTGTTATCCCCCTCACTTAATCCCCCCACAAAGAATATCTCTCATTCCATCTTTTATGCCTCATAGCTACAAATACATAAACCTTATACCCCAACTATAAGCAAGAAGAAAATGAAAAGCATGGAAGCTCTATCATTTTGACATAGGGAATTAAGTTAATCCATTTCACGATCAAGGATAAGGAAAATAATACAATGGCTGAAGAAGAATTACGAGTGGAAATTATTTTCTTCGCATACAGCAATGAGAATGGCAGCGGAAGGAGAAGAAAAAAAGGAAAAGAAAAGAATTGAATGTGAACGTTAATGGAAAGTTTTGGATGTGCGATAATTCTGATGGAGAAAATTGTACGTAAGTTTTATTTCTTTTTACCAACTCTTTCGTGGACAATGAACGGATGATAAAAATAATAAAATGAAATAAAAAGAAGGAAAAGGAGAAGGAACTGTTAAAGGGATGGATGGAAAACCTGCTTGTGATTTCTTCTTTGTTGTTTGACTGAATGGACTGAATAATGTTGTAGCTGGATTTTTAAGGAGATATGAGAGTTGTGGGTGCATTTTGACAAGGAATGTTGATTACTTTCAAAATGTATGCATTTGTGATATTTAATCCGTATCCCACAGTTGACAATCAGTTGCTTATCGGCTCTGACCTACAGCTTGAAGTTAAATTTGAACTCCAATACTGACCACATTGATGCTTGTACCCTTAAATTGGGGGATGCAAGCTTTACTTTTAAACAATTTTATTCCACAACTCGGATTGGATTTTAAATCCCTAAATTTTGTGGTACTAGAAGCTCTTCTTTTTCCATTCTCACATTCTAATTTACGACTCCTGATATCAAGCAACGTCTAACTAAGGATATTACCTGTCTATAAGTAAGTCACCCAAAAGTAAGAGAAATATCACATCCAAATACAAGCATAGCACACAGAAAAATAATAAAATTAAAGCCCATTTTTATTTGCTCAATCACTTGAGTGTGAAATTAAGTTGTTGCTTATCAAAACGGCACGTGATTGTCAATTTATTTTTATATCCTCTATGTAATTTTGAATGGATTTTGGATTATGTTTTTTTTTACTTTTTTTTCAAACCAGTACAGCAGTTATACTTTTGGGACAACGCAAAAAAGATGACATCTACGACAAGGGTTAATGCACAGAGACAGCAAGCACACAAATAAAAAATGGTAGAGGCTTTTTTTATTTTTATGCTCAACGAAGCCCTAAATAACATTCTATAGACTTTATCATTTTTCATAAAAAAGAGACAAAATATTTTTGTATGCAGGACAAAGTAAGTGGAACTTTAAATGATCATGATCAAAGGGCTCAATTGAGGCTTAGTTAGAAGGATAATACGTCTATCTAGTTCATATGGATAAATAATGTAAAAGGATAAGAAACAGTTTATGTAGAAAATTGGAGGTTAAAAAGGTCACATGAAGTCTTTTGAATATTAAGCAGAAGATTTTATTGTCGAGGATTTTTTTTACGGTTTTGAAAGATGAAAGTTGCTTTGTGGATTAACAGAGTGTCCCTTTAAGTTTGGATTTGCTTGAATAGTTCAACATTTATGAGGACAGGAGTGTAAGTCAAATGAGGGATTATTTGAAATTTTAAAGGCGTGTTGGAATTTCCAAAAGCATATTAAAGAATTTATTGAAAAAGGTAGAGGATCCCAAAATTCAAACCCTCTAAATTCACCTCTGAATGAAAATAACGAATAGAAATTGGACTAATGAGGGGTCGCTTTGGTGTCAATTCAACCTGATATGACCATTTTTTATGCCTTAACTTCCGTGTCAATTTATTTGAATACAAAAAAAATATTAAAATAAATTTCCTAGAAATAGTTTCTAATATATTATGTGAATACACGACAGCATGCGAAATAATGATGATTTGACTATTCATACGTATTGGTTTAAAAACTCGTAGCCACAACTTAAAATTCGCATACATTTGACAAA